GAGTGAGGGATATACAAGGTGGCTGGTGTTCTGGAGCATCAGTGTCTGGTCACAAGGAGACCCATGGAGCTGCCCTGGTTATATGTGACTTATTATTCATAGTGGGGAAACCTCTTGTAACTCCAGACACTTGCTGAACTATAACTCTCAGTCAGCCCTAGAAAGCCTGTCCCAAAGGCAAGGAATGATGGCAAGTCTGGGATTACGTATCAGCAACCATATGGCAGGACCAAGTTGTCACGACCCAGATTAGCAAGCCAGTTTCATCTGGAATTGCGGTTGGGTCCATTTTCTTCCTCAAAGTGATTTTGAGGAGGGCCCCATAAAATCAGCTGCTGACTAGAGAGTTAGTGCGAATCAGTATTTTTACGGAGGACCCTGACAGATTTCCCCCCACCCTCTTCCTTACATCAACCTGAGTAAACTGAGCCATCTCCGTATAGGTAAAGGTAAAGGGACCCCTGACCTTTAGGTCCAGTCGTGACCGGACTCTGGGGTTGCGGTGCTCATCTCGCTTTATTGGCCGAAGGAGCCGGCGTACAGCTTCCGGGTCATGTGGCCAGCATGACTAAGCCGCTTCTGGCGAACCAGAGCAGCGCACGGAAACGGCGTTTACCTTCCCGAGCAACGGGAGCTCACCCCGTTGCGGGGATTTGAACCGCCGGCCTTCTGATCGGCAAGTCCTAGGCTCTGTGGTTAACCCACAGCGCCACCTGTGTCCTTCAGACCTACCTATATGATGCACTGAATTGCTGATAGCATCCTGAGTTTATCATGGGCTGCTTGGTTATTTCAAAAGTGAAGTCTGGTTGGTGTTCTTTGTTACTGCACAGAACATTGTGAAAACTTCTTTTTAAAAAAAAAGTGTATTTATAAATTCATTAACTTATTTAACCCACTGTTGCTTACAAAATACGGTTGTGTGGAATGTTTCAAATTGAAGATCAGCACATTTTTAGCAGTTTTTGTTAGTGAGGTAGGTTAGGCTGACTGACCCAGCAAAGAGTTTCATGGCTGAATGGAGCTTCAAACCTGGCTCTCCCTTGTCTTAATCTGACACACTAACCACTACACCACACTGCCTGCTAATAATAAGTGTTAGTTTTCCCTACACACACCCACACCCCACTCTCTCTTCCATCTCTTTTAAGCTTAATGGAACAGCAAAGATTAACAAAGATGTGAGAACCATTAAGCTTACCAAAAAGGGCGATGATCTCAAGGCAGGAAACCAAGTGTCAAGTAGCTGGATGGGGAATTACTCAAAACAGACAGAAGAAGCCATCTGATACCCTGCGTGAAGTTGACGTCACCGTCATTGACAGAAAAATATGCAATGATGGCTATAATCGTCCTATTGTGACAATGACTATGGTGTGCGCTGGAGACAAGAAGGGAGGAAAGGATGCGTGTGTGGTAAGCTTGTTTATTTACCATTTCTGTCCGCAAATATGAACTCTCTTGTGACTGACACCTTGTTCAGTAGCATGATACATATAAGGAGGAATAATTAGCTCTGTTTACAGTAGCTCTGTTTACTCAAGACTTTTAAATACAGTGTTTCCTTGGTGAAATTCCCCCAACTGGGAATTAAATGACTGTCTCGCCAGAGTGGTGCATGCTCTGGTTATCTCCCGCTTGGACTACTGCAAGCACTCTACATGGGGCTACCTTTGAAGGTGACCCGGAAACTGCAATTAATCCAGAATGTGGCAGCTAGACTGGTGACTGGGAGTGGCCGCCGGTCCTGAGAGATCTGCATTGGCTCCCAGTACATTTCCAAGCACAATTCAAAGTGCTGGTCCTGACCTTTAAAGCCTTAAACGGCCTTGGTCCTGTATACATGAAGGAGCGTCTCCACCCCCATCATTCAGCCCGGACATTCAGCCCGGACATTCAGGCCGAGGGCCTTCTGGCGGTTCCCTCGTTGCAAGAAGTGAGGTTACAGGGAACCAGGCAGAGGGCCTTCTCGGTAGTGGCGCCCACCCTGTGGAACACACTCCCTTCAGATGTGAAGGAAATAAGCAGCTATCCTATCTTTAAAAGACATCTGAAGGCCGCCCTGTTTAGGGAAGTTTTAATATTTAATGCTGTATTGTTCTTAACATTTGATTGGGAGCCGCCCAGAGTGGCTGGGGAGACTCAGTGAGATGAGCAGGGTATAAATAAATAAATAAATAAATTATTATTATTTATTATTATTATTATTATTATTATTATTATT